CCGGCGGGCAGGAGGTACTCGAGCTCCCCGGCCGGACGGCGGTGGCTTCCAGGCCTGCACCCCTTGGCCCCTGCGCCCACCGTGGAAGGGCAGAGTTGTCAGTTTGCTAGTCAGCTGTCGGTATCGAACTGGAGATTTAAAAGCCAAAGTTAAAAGGGAGAGCTTAAAGTGAAAGTTGGAGGCGCTGTGCCCAGGAAAAGCTGTGCTGCCACCGACCCGTCAAGGGTGAATGTCCCCTGCACGGCAGTGCTGACGGGAGGGTGCGTTTCTGGGTTACACGGAAGGAGAAGTGTGGAGAGCTGTGGGTATGTTACATCTGTGTCCACCAAGGCTGTGCTTTATCACCGTGCCTATAAGGTGGCTTCTTGTTTTCCTGCCTATATTCAGACTTTTTCCTAAACCCTTTGCTTGCAACCTTGTGCATTGATCCTCATGTTTTTTGCTGTCCCATCATACATACTGCTTTTTCTGTCTTGGGGCATTTGCCTCATGGATTCTCCACTCTGCTCTCTCCCCTGCCTTTTCTCTACTCTCTGTGGCCTAACCCACCTCCAGCACAGCCCCGGGGTTATCCAACGTAAACCTCAGGTACTAGGAGCGATCCTACAGACGTTGTAGAGCCAGGTGCTAGAGAAAATTTGGGAACTGTTGTGTTGTACAAGGGCAAGGTATCACCTATTAGCAGGTCAGCATTAGTTACCTGCGTGGAGGCTCTTATTGCACAGCTCGGGCTGTGTTTTTTGGTCATTCTTTCTATAAATATGCTCTGATGAGCTTTTTCTTTGTCCTAGGCTGCAATACTAATTTCTGTGCAGTCTGCAGACTTTCTGAGCCTCTTTATATCAGGCAAGTTGAGAACATAAGGAGAGGTACGTTTGCAGGATAGCTTTTAGCGAGAAAATCTTTGCTGTATGTTTGTGTAAGTTTGGTATCTAATATTTATATTTTTCATGCGAGTGTTCATAAAAAAGTTACATTTGCGTAGGGAACTGGGAATTGCAGATGCGTCAGCAGAAAAAATGGAGCAAAAACCTGATCACTGTTTTAAAGGTTGTACAATAAATAAAACATATGAAGTGATTTTAGTCTTTTTTCTATTGGAAACGGAAACTGGTGTGCCTGGCTTTATAAGATTATGATGTGGGTTTATTCAAGTATAGGGAGGCCTAATACATACTGTTTATCAGGTCTTGAGCAAATCAGTCCTTGTGTCTCTTTTCCTGCTGGTAAACCATCACTGATTCTGTTTTTGTATAAAGTGCTTTGAGATCCGATGATGGAAGGGCATTAAGTAAATCTTTCAATTAAGATGACGGGGAAGATGCCAACAAGTTGCTGAAACTTGTGTTTTGTATAAGGTGGTTCAGTGACTGGACTTAAAACTTTCACTTTACAAATTGCTCATAACAGTACAGTAATTAGTGATGGTCTTAAACTGGTATGCTCCTTTCCTACTGCTCTCAGCTTTAAAAGCAGCCTTGTCTTGTGTGTTCCAGTTGAGAATTGTCCCCTTAAGGACTTTAATCTCTGTGTGCCTTAAGGCAACTGAAGTGATAGTTTTGTTTTCTAGAGCTGTGAGAATGTGAACATAATGACTGGTGGTTTGAATTTATGTTGTCATTTTGTATTTTTTCTTATTCTGAACTGTCATTGCAGGAAAATGATCTCTATAACTTTAATTTTGATTTGGATTTGATGTCTTGGGACTCGGATCTTTGGAATATTACAGGCCATGCTTATGCAGGTAATTTACCTTTTATATTTTCCAGGTGTGACTATTCTCCCCCACCCCACAAGGATGAGCTGTTATAACTTTAAGATAGTGGTAACATACATGGAACTATTTGATGTCCTGCAGCATTTAGCTCTGTGATGAGAAGTCATGCTGTGTTTCTGTAAGATAGGTACAGCTGGCGAGGAGTACCCCACAAGCTAAGCTGCTTAGTATCTTTAATCTCGATATGTTTTCGAGATATGTCTTCACATTTTATGTTTTTGATATATCTTTAGTCTCATTAGGTTTTCTGCTGTGCCTTGCTTCAGGAATTAAATAGCTGGTGTAGGGCAATGTGCTTTTTACTGATCTCCCACTGTTAAACACTTGTACAGTAAAATTTCTTTATCTGCCCCTTGCAGATGCAAGCGTGAAGACAGAACCCTTATCACCAGCCACTTCGAATTTTTCAGTCCCTTCTCCGTCATCTGTGGACTCTCCAGTGCAGAATGTGCCTGTATGCAGAACCCTCCGTGTAACACAGATCGCAGCAGTTGTTCAGAACCAGTTGTGACAAAAAACCCAGTGATTTACTTGTCTGACCAATTTAATGGCATAAGAGGAAACAGCTTATTTTTCCAACCTTTGTAAAACCACCTTCCTTTCAGTGATGTTTTCCTTCCTCTCCTGCTGTGACCCATTCTAAAAAGATGGTGTTCAGTTCTGTTTCCTCAGTTGTGTGTATTGGCCTGTTTGCCAAACAAAATCCTTGTGAAGTCTAGCAGTTGGTGGGCTTTGCCCCTGCTCACTCTGCTGATGAGGAGAGGTACTTCTTTGGTTTTCAGTGGTACTTAGCACTGACCAGAATAAAACTGCAGAACAAAACTTTTCTCATGCTTGCTGAAGCAGCAACACAAATGTGATGAAAGGCTGTTATACTCTGAAATGCTAGTAGACTCTTTAATGTGTTTCTGAAATATTAATCTCATGTACTTTCTGTCTGTAGGATGATGTGGACTTCAGCTGTAGCTCCCAGATGTCTCCCATCTCTCTCTACAGCAAGAGTTGCAGAAGCCCTGCATCCCCTGAAGGAGATGGAGGGAAGAAACCTGCTCTCAATGTCACTTCTCGGTCTGGTATGAAAGACTGATGAGTTACTTTGATTCCATAGATAGTACGTACGCATATTGTCTTGCATACGGATGCTTAACTAACAGACACTAGTATATCCTGTTGTTTCTGACTTCAGCTTGTGATCAGATATGTATATTTTTAATAAATATTATGGATGGGTAAAAAAAAAAAAAGAGCATACCAAAAGCCATATTATTACTGCTTGAATTCTTTATTCTATATCTTCTGGTCCAACTTTGACTTTTTCCTTTCCTAGCAAATAATTCTACGAGGACTCTCAAGAGGTGTGCTCAGACAGCGTCCAGACCTTCAATACAACCCAAACCCCTTTTGCCTGCTGTACCTGAGGCTCAGACTAACATTGGCATCCCCGCAAAAACCATCATTATTCAGACTCTTCCCACGCTTGTGCCACTACCAAAGCATCAGCCAGTTGTTAACATCCAGCCAGCACCCCCTAAAGGTAGGTGCGTTGTTTGGACTGAGCCAGGTCTTGGGGATAAACACTGTCTGTTTGGGATGCTCGCTAGAATGAAGTTAGCTTTGGTGGGTGAAACGGGAGGGGGGTAGGAGAAAAAAGAGGAATCCTACACACTTTACTGAAAAAACTTTAGGCTGAGAAGATGGCTTTGTTCCTCTCATTGGTCCTATGAGAAGCAGCACTCACCTGGGCATTGTGTGGAATGGAAGACAGTATAGCAAAAGAGACTGTGCTGAGCACTGGAAGTTGTGGAGATAAAACTGCTGGTTTGGAAGGATCTCTAGGGACCCTTTGCTCTACTTGTGATGGCAAGTGGTGCATAAGGTGATTACAGTGCTCTTCTGCCGTAAGCAAAGGAAGAATCAGTTAGGATGGCTTGAATGAAGCTGGAAAGCTTGTAAGGAGTGATAAAAGCTGTTTTTTACCCACACAAAACTCTGCCATAGGATGGTGGGAACATGAGTTTATGGCTTGTTACCTCACTAAACAGCATTAAACAAGATGTGAAATCTGACATTACTTGCGTGCTGAAATGGCCAGATGCAGTTGCTGGTTTTCACCAGCTGGTGGCTGCAGTCTCTTGCGGTTGACTGTACAGGCACTGAGGCGTGGAAGGAAAAGAGACAAGTACTTAATTAAGGGCATGTATCTAGAAATTATTGCAATAGCGAAAAATTTGGCTTCGTTGCTAATTGCTCTTCCATCAGGAGTTAAGCCAGAGCTGGAGACGCTGACATTTGTTACAACATACCTAGGATTGTTGGACTGCTTAAAACACAGGTCAGCGCAGTCAGTGTGACCTAATTCTTGTTGCTTCTGATGTCCCAGCTGATAAAATACCATCTGGAATAAAGGAATGTTGAGGATATGGATTTTTTTTTGATATAAATATAGTACTGTGAAGATCAGCTTCTTCTTTTCACTGAAGAAAAGTCAGGAGAGTAGTTTCTGTGAAGGACTATAGAGGAAATACTTTTGGGAAAGTATTTCCATGCCATATATTTATTTTAACTGATGGTTTGTTTTAAAAATTCTATAGTGTTGATTCTGTAACAAAAACCATAAGGATCTTTTTCATTAATCAAAATCCTCTGCACGTGACAAGTTGGAGCTACCAGTTTGAAATATGTTGTTATCTTCAAAGGAAGATGAGGAATGATATTTTTACAGTCCCTTTCATAAAAGCTTAAAGAAGAAAGCATGATCTTAGAGCATCACATACTTTATACATTAAAAAAATTTGTTGAAATAATCTCAAATTCACCATTTGAGGTTTTTAAATAGGATCGTACTAACTTATGATGTCTTCAAGCTTATCTCTGCAAAAAAGGAGATCTAATCATACATCTTGTACATAAAAGATCTTGGCACTGGCTAAATGACTTAATTTTTCACCTTCCAGAAAGTTGGGTAAATGCTGTAATACATCGTTGTGCATTTTGGTTGGAATGCTCAGCTGGAATGTTCTGTTTCTGAAAGCTGGCGAGGTCGTCCTGTTACAAAGGATTAAAGAGTCATTCATGTGTTTTCAGACAACAAAATATTACTCAAGCACCTGCTTGAGTTAAATGTAGTTGTTGGGCTGAAATTTCTTGGAGGTGACTGTGTTTAATTCCATTTCAAACTCTGTCAAAATGGTCTCATTTTTTTTAATGCTTGCTTTTCCCTGTGCATAAAATTTCTTACCTAAGACATTGTTCAAAAAAATTGGTCTTGCCTTAGTGTGAATTGAGGCTTTAACTTATATTTTGAATGTGTAACTTGCATTGTTCTTTCTTGTTTATCTTCTTTCTCTATGCTGTTTCTGCATTGGTTTGTATAGTTCTGTGTAGTGAGTTTTCCATGGCATATAGCAATAAAGTAGGGATGGACAAAAGGAAGAAAGTTTTTTGTTTGCAAGATGGATTAAGAGCTCTGAAAACTTCAGAGTGTTTTTATTACTATCCTGTAGAATATACTAATGCTGGAGAATTGGACTTCAGATAAATCATGGGGGGACAGGAGAAGAAGCAAGGCTTTCTACCTCCTATATCAGTATTCCCCTACAAACTGGTCATGTATAAATCCATTTCATCCTATGTGCTGAGCACTCCTGTTTGTTCTTGTGTTCTAGGTCAATCGGTGGTGCTCTCCCAGCCTGCTGTGGTACAGCTCCAGGCTTCTGGAGTGCTTCCTGCCTCCCAGCCGGTCATTGCTGTCACTGGAGGGACCACGCAGCTTCACAATCATACAGTGAGTGCGTTGCCTCCAGCTGCTGGAAACAGCTCAACAAGCGGCAAAATACCAGTGGCTAAGCCCTTGCTTCAAAGCTCCACACCAGCAATGGGGCTGGATGTAAGTTCCAACTGTGATGGTACCTCATAACCAAAGCTTGGAAATGGTTTTCAGTTACCCGCGTGTGGGATGCAATGGGGGAACCAGGTCACTTTGGAGTCTCAGGAAGACAGAGCTGTGGCTGGGCTTGTCTAATAGGATTTCTAACAGTAAACAGGGAATTCTTGGTAGAGAATGGGGAGGAAGAGCTTGGTATCTGCTGGCCTGCCTGGAGCTGCAGACCAGCTATGCAAGCATTGTGTCAGAAGACAGTACTGATGTATTTTTGCCTTGTCGTCTCGACTGCAAGCTCTTAGTGGCTGGAGGTCTCTTACATACTGGAAGATTTAAAATACATTATTTTTTTATGAGTGCTAAACCATTTTTCTAATTCATATAATAAAAACACTCCTTTGGAAGTTGATGAATTGGAAATGTCAGCAGTAGGAGTGATTCTCTTTCCATCCTCTTTATCTCCCCAGATTTTACTCGTGATTTTTAGAAACTTCAGATATTGAGTTTCTTATGATCCTAATCTCTTCAGGCTCCCTTTTGATCATATATCGAATGAGTAGAAAAGGGGTAAGCTCTCAACAGTCACTGTGCAAATAAGTTTTTCTACAGTAGCTCACAGTAAGCAGTAAATGCAAACAAAAACAGCTTTTGAGATGTGAGGGTTTTTTTTACCCCTTCAGCTTTGACATCTTAACGGGCTAGCAAGCTGGGTATTAACTTCATTTAGTTCCTAGTAGTTTGGAGCTGCTTTGGTTGCGTTTTGTTGCCCAAAGGAAGGCACGATTGTGGAAAGTACTGAAGCTTCTTGTTTATGGCTTTTCATTCTCAGTGTGTTGTTCTCCAGTGTGGTATTCCAGGCACGGTTGTCATGAGCTGAGGGTCCTATCGCATCTCTCAGTGTGATGAAGAAAACACTGGGCTCCACTGACATGAAATTTTGCAGTAGTCACCTGCATATTAGCACAGGACACTTTCTCAAAGGCATCTTCGGAAGGATGTTGTTGTACGGCTTCCTAGCGTTTGAGAATTGCTGCTTGATGTTATATTTTGCTCACTATTTGTGTGTGTGGGCTCCATTTTTAAATGAAAAACTATTTGCTACAAATAATTCTTCAGCCAGACAGCAATGAAAACCTGATCTTGAATTTGCCAGAAAGCTAACAAAGGTCTGTCGACAGACCAGTTAAGGACGCGTCATTTTTAAATCATAATTGCCTGCCATGCAAAGCCAAACTGAAAAGACCTGTCAGCAGTCCTTAGATTTGTGACTTGCTGTAATCAGGACTAGTGTGGCACCTTGCCATTGTCTGAATAAAAGGTTTAATTGACAAAACACCCTTACAGTTGTCACACTTCATATACACATCTGTGACAGTCAGTAGTCAAATGTGTAGCTAGGTAATGAGTAGCTGTTTTGGATGATGTTTCTGTGAGTATTTGTATTTCCACCTGAAGCTGTTTTAGGAAGGCAGTTTTAAGACTTAGTATCAGCCTAAATGCTGCACATCTTACCTGTGTTTACTGAAACACAAAAAACAGTTGCAGCTGCTCTTTGGCACATGTTGTGAAATAGCGCTTTGAAAAAGAACAAATGTTCCAGGATGCAGCTGGCACCAGCAGGGTTAAAACATCTTACAACTGCCATAGACACCATATGTGGTGCTCAGAACTGCACAGATGTAGCTGTCATTTGAGCTCTGTAACACGTGTTTTTGTTTGCTGATCTAAGCAGATGTTGCAGGATAAAAAGAAACACTGTGGGACTTTCTTTTGGGCTTAGAAGGGATAAACTGTTAGCTTAACACTCAACCCTTCCAGTGGATCAGGCTGAGAGCGGCTGATAGCAAGCTGTACATGTGAGCCCTGCTTTGTTCCTCTCCTGATGGCACAACTTTACACAGCTTGCCAGCCGCGGGGAAGTGCCAGGCTTTCAATGCGGTCACTCTTCACTAGGAAACCAGTGGAGAACTTTCCCCTAGGAAACCAGAGAACAGAAATGCTGCCTAAGGAAGCCCGGGTTGAAGGAAAGAGGCTCTTAACTAAAAAGGCACATTGCCTTTCCTGCTGCCATTAAATGATACAAGGATGTAAACGGTGGGTGTGTGAGGGTATCCACTTTAGGTGTGTCCTTATAGGGTCTTTCTCTCATGTTTCTGCTCTGTAGTGAAAAAGGATTTAATTCTGCCTCCCAGTTTGGTTCATGAAAAAATATTAAAAATTTAGAAAAGTTAGGGCATGCATAATTGCTTCAACATAATTGTGGATTTCTATTAAAGAAACCTGTTTTCTGTGCTGTACATTGGGTATTTTCCAGATGAAATAATCTCATTAGTCAAGTTGTATTCTGTTGAGTTAGAGACAAGAAACCCCAGATCTTTCATAAGAACCGGGAAAACATTTGCGTAGGTTTTGTATTCCCACATTTAAGATGCATCTTTGATGACAGCAGCTTTCATAAGCCGAGGTAAGAAGCCAGCCAATGTAAATGGTTTGTAGTTTCAGCTCTTTGTTAACTTTCCCAGTGTGTGTACCAAAATCTCTGGAGTGTGCGAGACATTCTTGCTGCCTTGTGCTAGAAATACAGATTGCATTGGAACAGAGGTTGAGTTTTGCTCAGAACTGAGTTTTCTTTGGAAGACTAAATTGGGGTAGCAGTGTTTATTTGTGAAGTGCATGACTAAAGATTCTGAAGATAGAGGACAATCTGAATCTAGTTAGTACTGTTCGAAGAAAGGTTTTGCAATGAACCTTTCACTTCTCCATATTTACAACATCTTATTTGTGTGTGTGTTAGTGGTGGTGTAGTTTTTAAAGCTAGGAAGCAAAAGTTGCATCACCAATTAATGTTTGATTTTAACGCGAGTGTTTTCCCTTTATGGTCTATGTTTCCTGAGAACCAGAAGTTATTATCTTGAGTGGTAAATAATTACAATACAAGCTACTAAGACGAAGGCTGCAAAAGAAGTTAGCAGAGGTGTGTTACATTTAATCTTTGTTCAGCACTTGCACAAAGCAATGTTGCTCAAGCAGTCTGGCATTGTAAATTAGTTCCTCTCTTTCTTCTGATTATCAAAATGCTCAAGCAAGGGACGTGTTTATCTTGATGCCAAGCCAGCTGTGTAATGCTTAGTGCCATACTGCTTCCAAGATCAAGCACTGTTGCCCTATTTCATATACACACCTCTTTCCTTCCCTGCATCAGATTTAGGTAGAATCAGGTGTGCAGGTGTGGCGTGTTCCCCATGAAGAGCCAGGCAAGGGCTAGAGGATTGAACAAGGGCCTTAAACTGTTTTAGGGATTGTCAGTAAAATCACTCAAGGACTAATAGTTTGGTTTCATTTAAGCAAGTTTAAGAAGTGAGTGGAAGGGAAATTAGTGTGGCGTGGACTGAAATGCAGTTATTGCAGAGTACCTGAAATCCAAGTGGGGAGAGCTGCTGTTCCTGATGGCATTTGGAGAAGCCTGAGTAAAGGAGGGTGGTCTAGCTAAATACCATCTGAAACGTAGCTGGTAGTGTCTGAAACAGTGACAGATGTACCTTAGGAGGTACTCTTGGTGTACAAACACCACAGTGGTGCTTTAACTCCATGTTTTCTCCAGGGAAGCAAGTAGGTTTGTCAGAGGTTCTAGACACTTATTCAAAAGCTATCCAGTAGTGAATAATCCTGAGCAGGTCTGCAGACAAGAATTTGGTCTCCTCTGTTTGACTTCATGATACGAAACCTCTTTTTAAAAAGAGGAACGTAGCTACTTGTTTGGAGTATCGCGCAACTCAAGCCAGAGGTGCTGCATGAACTCGTTCCTTATTATTTAATCTCTGGACAGCTGAAGTGATCCTGGCTCCAGATTGGTGTGTTCTATACACTGCAGTCCTTGGCTAGCCTGAATCTTTTTTTTTCCAGAGTATTTATGTGTCTGCAGAAGTTTTCTGATGTTAAGTATTGTAGTACTTAAAAAATTCAGGACAAAGCTTAGTGTTAATGAAGATATGTTAAAGTCTTTTCCTTCTCTACTCTCTGCTGAAGAGAGAAACTGGAGTAAGTACAAACAGTTTCACTTTCACAGGCTTTTGTTGGTGGCAGCAGACTAGACATATAATAAATGATCTTTACAGAAAGCAATTAGATCAACATGGAGACAGCCCAAAATGTTAATGCACATGTTTTCTTAGTCTTTGTCACCAGACGGCAGTATCATGAAGAAGAATGACTTCTTTAAACAGCCTGTAGCCAGTCTTCCTTGCAGACCCCAAAGCCCTAGAGCAGCGTGTTGTCTGTGTTCAGGTATATACAGGGAGAGAGTTGGAAAGCTATGGTTAAGGTTTTTTAAGCAGCTGAACCTGAACCAGGGCACGCTATCTGGGTTCGTTAATATTCTGTGATGTGTTTTTTTTTTTCCTAGACTGATGCTTCTGGAATAGTTCTCAGCTTTTCTCTTTAGCTTTCATGCTCTAACAGATACAGGTCAGTCCAGTGGATGTGTTGATAGCTCTTGGGGGGTATTCAGGTCTGTGTGAGATTGAGCATTTGGTTCTCTTTCAGTGTAAACATCATTAAGGCACATCCTGTTGTAGCTTGCTAGTGTGATGGAAGTCTTCTGTTTTTAATAAAAGCAGAATTGCCGTTGCTAATCTGTGAGGAAAAGGAAATCAACACAATAGTGTTTAATTTTGAGTAGTTTTGTATAGCTCTGCAGTATCGATCATCGTTATCCTTGTCAGCAGCAAGATGCTTTCAGTCTGGGTTGTCCCACTCAGTGCAAACCACAGAATGAGTAAGTGGTAAAAGATGATAGACTGTTCCTGCCTGGCAAAAGAAATCAGAGTCATCAAGACTGTTGGGGAGCGGTTACTTTGAACTGTCTGGCTCTGGTCTTGCAGACTGAACGCTTGCTAGTGGTTGGAGCGAACTGTGTGCCCTCCTGGAGTATATTTTCTGGTTTAGCTTCATCCAGAAGGAATCCAGTTTGTGTGTGCTGTCAGAGACTGTTCTGTGATGTGAACTGAAGCATATTAAGTGGGATGATCAGGAAATGTGCGTCAAAGCCGTGCTCCTGATCTGAATTAAAATGCTAGTATAGATGCACCAGAGACTGCATCTGAAGTGCCGTGGAAGTGCTTGATACACGTAGGATGTGCACTCTGAGGTTAGCAACAGTATTCAGAATCTCAGATACTGTATAGCAGAATGAGAAAATGTACAGAAACAGGTGTAATCAGTGTGGATTTGGCTTCCATACAGGACAGACTGAAAAAGCATAGGACTCTCCAGTTAAGAAAACAGGTGACTGATGGTAGCCTATAAAATGGTGTGTGGTAAAGTGAAAATCCTGCTACTTTGCAGACCTGTAGATATGCGTTTTCTGTCTTTGTGATTTGATTGATCAAATGGAACTGCTGCTTGAGTATACATTTTGTGTCCGCTAAACATAGAAGAAGGTTGAGAATGCAGGAGAACGACAGAGACAGCACAGGACCAGTTTTTTCATTATCCACGAGCTGTAAGTCTTGGAGGTGTATCATGACTCCTAGCTGCCTCTGTGCTGAACATTTCAGCTCATTTGAAGCAGAGTGCAGGAAGCTATCTGAAGACTTTTGACCAAGTAGAGGAGCAGAAATTATACATGAAATAGAGGCACTTTTAATGTGTGGATCATTAACAGACCTCTGTATTGTCTGTCCAGGCCAATGTCTTGAGAAGGCAGCAGCGCATGATCAAAAACCGGGAGTCAGCCTTTCAGTCACGGAAGAAAAAGAAAGAATACATGTTGGGACTGGAGGCGAGGCTGGAGGCAGCCTTAATGGAGAATGAGAAACTTAAGAAAGAAAACAGCACACTGAAGAGGCAGCTGGATGAAGTAGTATTAGAGGTAAGAGATTGTGATGAAGATCTGACTTTATATAAAGACAGTTGCTCGGGTGGAAGGCACTTGAACAGAATAATGTTAATGTTGACTGGAAGACCTTTGGGGGTTTGTAGCCCAGCCTCCCACTCCGAGCAGGGCTTTCACCAGCTCTAGGAGAAGACAGCTGACATGTTATCTAGTTGAGTTTTAATTTGTTATTTCATGGTGCTTATGAAGATTTCGCTGAGAACATAGACTGGATAGAAGCTGAATACAGTGTACAAACAAAAGAGTTTTATTTTTAAGTAGTCCTGGTCTGTATTCATACATAATTGGCCAAATATAAATCTAAAAAGCAAGCATAATGTAGCTTCCGACACGCCTTTGCATGTCTGTGCCCCTTTTTTATTGCATGACTACTCTTTTTTCCTGTCTAGAACCAGAAGCTCAAAGTATCATCTCCAAAGAGAAGGACCCTGTGCGTGATGGTGATACTGGCTTTCATAATGTTGAATTATGGTCCATTCAGGTAAGCTGCCTAGGAATTCCTCTTTGCATAGCAAGTTGGCTGTCTTGTGATTTTTTGTTTGAATCTTTAATACAAGGCAGTGTTTTCTGTTAAAACTTTGAGCTTGAAACCTGACTTCTGTCCTTTACTCTCCTGCACAGGTATAACGATTCCTCTTTTGGAATCCTTCTGGCAACAACAGCTAGATCTTGTACTTTTAATTTCTCTTGGCTTGGCATTTTGTTAATCAATGCAATGTACAGCAGGTTGTCTGCTCCATTTATACCTGAAGACATTTAAGAGTTATGTTTAGAATACTCTTAGGAAAAAGTCACAGACTTTGAGTCCTCATCTTCTTGTTTATACCTGTGCTAATCTCCATAGGTATGAGTTTAAGCTGCTTCTAGTACCCGGTGCAGGAAATTCCACTGTTTGTTCCAGTGCTTTGCGATTCTGACCATTAGATGTGTCGAGTCGCAGTCTTCCTCATTACAGTGTAAGCCCTGTATTGCTTGTCTTTGGGATCTGGTGAAGAGGTTGTTCCCTCTTGTTGGTTGAAGTGGTAATCAAAAACCTCTCTTGTTCAAACTGTATCAGTGGGGCATAGGAACCAGAGAGCGGGAGGGAAATGCTGCATTACTTCCCAGACACTTTATAGAGTAATGTGTGGAAGAGAGGAGGCTGAAAACGGATACTACTTGCACACATCTGTCTACTTAACCTGGCTTTGGAACATGAGAACCTTTTATAGGAAGCTGTTCACTTTTTCAAAAGGGGAGAGTATTTCAGTAGATTCCAGTCAACAGTGTCTCCATTTGTCCTCAAAACAGTCAAACTGAAGGAACAGGATGGGATAAATCTGGAGGAAGACTTTGTTTCTGACTATGATAAACTTTTACAATGTTGGTGTTTGTATTTTCAATATTATTAGAAAATTTGCTAAAGCTGAAATTACTTTTGAAGTTTTTGCACTTATTGCAAATAATGTTTATCTCAGGCAGTGAAATACAGCTGATAATCTTACTTTGATATGGATGATTTGAAGGTGGACTGTTTCTTAGTGCTTTTAGGGTTTGTGCTGGGATCTTTGACTATCAGATAGAAAAATCAGCTTCCAGACACTAAGCGATTGATTTGTACATCCCATCTGCGTTTGCAAACATTACCACTCCCTCAAGAGACACTGGTCTTACTTGGTGAGAACTAATATAAGCAATAATCTTTTTGAAGCTGGAACAAATTTTAGTTGTGTCCCCATTACAATGTGAAGTTGGAATGCATGAAGATCTTGTTAGTTTTGAGAGGCTTGGAAACACACAGAAGGTGAGTGGGAAGTCTTTTACCACAGCCCTATAGAGTTCCTGTGTCAGCTTGTCAGCCCCAAGGAGTGAGTAAGATGCTGAGCTCGATGGGAAGAAACTTCTTTCAAAGTAGACTGAAAGGTCAGATTGTGTTCATGTTTTTGCAGCTATAGGTAACTACAGAAATGTGACAGGGTTAATTTCTTGGCCCGTTTGATGTTTAATAAAGTAGATAAAGCAAAGAGAAATTCTTGGATGTCTGGCCGAGCATGCCAATGTGTTTGTTGAGCCTGAACTAGGTGGTCTGCATCAGGACTGGATTTGGGCAGTGAGGAGAAATGTAATTGCATTTGCAAGGAATTACTCTTATCTTCCTGCTTTTTTTTTTTTCCACAGCAGAATAAATGTTTGGATTAATTATGCAATTATAATACTAGACCGCACCAAGGTGTTGTGAATGTTGATTGTGCAATACCCTTTGCAAGGCCCCAAATGTGGGATATACAAACCATTACTTAAGATTTCCCTCCTCCATATGCATTTTCTTCCTTTTATAGAGATGTCACTGAATGGTAGCTCCACAAACATGATAGCCATGATTGCTGTTCTGCCTAACAACAGAAGCTTCCAATACACGTGATGTTTTTCAGTCCCTGCAACTTCTTACAGAAATAAGGATTTTATTTTTTTTTGTTAAAATATCCATTCTAGCTTATAGTGCAGCAAATGTACTTTTTTCCCCCATGTGAGCTATCTGTGGTATTCCTAATTTCTATGCAGTGGTCAACTGCAGATAAATCTGATTTGAAACTTTGCAGCGATGTTGCCATTTCTTATATGTAGGAAATAATTTTGCTTGCACACCTGTATGAAGGTAGGCCAGCATTCAGGAACGGGATGTTTTGATTCAAACATTAGCAGCTAGTATTTTATTATTTAAAACCAATGAACTGTTGCAAAGAGAGTGTGACATCCAAATAAAGCAGAAATGTGTGAATGCCACCCCCTAAATTCTGTAGCAGACTTTGAAATTCCCTTCCCTGGCCTTATTGTAAGATGCTTCTCAGTTTCTTAACTGGAAAGAATAGAATTCTGTGAAAGCTAGAGGTAAAACAAAAGAACAGGTATCTTGAGTTTTCTCTTTAGCTGCCTATTTCAGTCCAACCCGAGAAGGCAGGGAAGTGATCGGGTTGTTTGGGGACAGGGCTGTGAAGCCAAAGGACAGGCAATCCTGCAAACCCTTCGTGGCCTGTGGCAGATCAGCAGAAGTGCAGCACAGTGTTTGGGCTCTTGGCATCCCACAAAAACATATCGGGATGGTTGACCGTGTCGTTAGTTCTATGTTTTCTTCTGCATCAGTAGATAAGTGTTGTACTAGCACTGGTTCACAGATAACTTTATTTATTGCTCTTAAGTCTCGTTGGCTGTGTATGTAAGTGGTGAGATATTTGTGATGTTTTGTGGAGGACTTTGAGGCTGTGCTGTTCTGCTGTTTTAAGATTATGAGAAGTGGTCCAGGATGTGACAGCCCTTTGCAAACAAGTTTAGCAGATAACATTATTCTTCTGATGCATTTTTTCACACTGACAAATATACTGTGTGTGCGGGTAATCTGTAACATTGAACGTGGGAATAGGGGAGCAGGGCTGAAAGTCTGCTAGGGAAGCTGGCACATTGACCTAAGAAATCTGTTTGAAAATAGTAGAGAGAGAGTCTGGTCCAGTCTGTTAGATTGCCAACAAGCTTTTTAGAACATCCTTCAGTCTTGGAAATGGCACCACGTAATCTCTGATAAAAAATGTAAGTAAAATTAAATATAAATTGAATATAAATATGAATTGAATACTTTCTGATCATGAAAGTGGCTTGTATAGAGCTAATGGTAACTCTGCATTATATTGTACTGTGTTACTAAACTCTTTTGGGTTTGTTGATATTTGTATAGAAAACTGAAACTTTCAGTTACTAAATGCAGAAATGATTTAGCAGGAATTCTATTAGGGTAACTTTCTATTTCATCCGTTTACTTTATACTAGAAAAGCGTCCAGGAATTTCCTGTCAGTGTGTCAATTAACTATTTTGTAATCTTTGTGAATGATTTGAATTTTGATTTAACATCTATAAAAATATCCTGTTGTTATTATTTTAGAATGATTGCTGAGGTGTATGAAGGGAAAAGTGTACATTTTGGTTTAAATCCTTGAAGAGGTCATGCCCTTGCCCCAGTCTTACATACCGTGAGGTGCAAGACAGGAATTGGCAGCCCACCATGTTTGCACAAAAGGCAGCGAGCACACAAACCGTGCAGCAGGGCTGGGAGCTGGAACTACGGCATCTGGAGGCAGGTATCTGTGGGAGGCAGCGTCTCCTGCCTTGGCGCTTGCCTTCTGCTAGAGCCGGTGTCATCAGCATGGCTGTGTTCCCAGCTGGCATGGCACCACTGAAAAACTGCTGACTTCTGCCATTAAGAAACATCTGATTAACTGTCCATTTTTTTATCACATACAACATAACAGTCTGAAAATTTTCAGATTTTACAGTTCCTAGATGCCTTTTCTTTTTTTTCTTGTTTGATTTCTGTATTTGTGTTAGACTATGTCAGGGTAGTAACCAGATCTGAAAATGTGCTAAACAAGCACAAACAATGCTGAAACTAATGGAAACCAAGCACATGTTCTAGTCTAAACAATCCACGTATTTATTTTGGGAACCTTTTTCTTTTGTTTCTCTTCCCCATTGCAATATAAATTGTCATGTGTGTTTGTTTTTATAATGCAAGTGCTACATGTGATAGTGAAATATGTGCAGGAAACTAACCCAGCTAATGTGTAAAGAGTAGGGAAGTGAGAGCGATCATAGAAGATGCAAAAGGTAAATTTTCTGCATCTCTGCTTCTTGGGGCAGTAGCAGCAAAGCATGTAAGCCAGATACTTGCTAGTGGCCCTAGCATTATTTTCTCAGTTATGAAAAATGTTCAACTAATTATTTTTTTCCCCTGATCGGTCTGCTCGAGCTGACACGGTGGTCATCACCTAATAGCAGTCTTCGAGCATTTAGAAAAATGTCAGCAAGCCAGAATGTGTCCTAGCTACCATTTCAGATATTTAGTGGACAGAAACCAAAGAAATATATGAAGTTGGAGAGAAAAGAGGCAGATCTGTGAAGAAATGGGAAGAGAGGGTTTGAGAAGGTGGAGTGACTTTTTTATTAATTGTGGTTTTTCTTACAAGTTGTCCATCTCTATATGGCTGGAACCCCTTTCAAATTGGAAAACGGACTTGATGATATACAAAAATTTTGAACCTGTATTTGTGGTGGAGGATGACTGAGGTGGTGATTGATGGAGCTGAGTAAAGCTGCTCTTTCAAAATCTCTTGTGTTGATGTACAGCAGCTATGCTAGAGTTGCTGGCGTTTTGTAGAGACTTGATTGCAGCTCCCCTCTAGAGTGTCCTGATGGGTTTTCCTCTACTTTCCAGGACTATCTTGGAAACTGAATAATCCACTAAAAATTCAGATGCACTGAACATTCTGCAGATAAAGACACCAGCCTGGGTAGCTGAGAAGCGTGATTTCTCTGGTGGTGTTGTAAACTGCAACAAATGAAGAAGCTGTGATTTTTGACTCTTAAAAGACCTAGGGATGTGTCCCATTTCTTAGGTTGGTAGCACAAATATTAGGGGAAAAAAACCCAGAAGTGGCAAGATTAATCATCTTTTA